AGTAAATTTAATATATGGGTTGTGACCTACTCATATGTTTTTATAGTAAATTTAAGTATCGAACTGATATCAAAGTAGTATTAAAGTAGTATCATTAGGAGCCCTATCTATATCACAAGTTGCAAATTCAAATTCACTAGAAAACTAATTAATTCTTTAAAAAACAATATGGGAATCTATAAACCATCAGCTTAATCATATAGTAATTAATATTTTCAATTATAAAAAAATTAGTTTATAAAAGAATTGTAATACAATCATTATCTGAAATTAGCTAGAATTATTCTTGACATAATTATATTATATTTTAGTTTTTATATTATATTAGAACATATTTGACTATTGTAACTAGTTTGATAGTATATATTACATTGCCTTGATCATTTTTCAACAAACTCAAATGCAGATAGATCTTTTTGTATTGATTTTTGACTTTAATTTTTTGTTCCAATTGATTTTCCTTATAATCTATTAATAGTAGAATTTTTTAGTATAACAGAAGAAATATATATTAACTCTTTCAGTTATATATAAATAGTAGCTTGTTGATATGGTAGCCAGAATTGATATTGTTATGCAAGAGACTATAGAAAAGATTGGAGACCAGTATTATTCACATTAACAAAACATGTGAAATCTTTTAAAAATTCAAAATAGCAATCTTGAATCCATTAATGCTTATAAATATCAATTTTCTACAATGTTTAGCTAACTGCTAAATGCTTACTAATAATATATGAACATGGCAGTTTTATTGTAAACTTAAAAATTTCTATACAAGGTTTTAAAGATGAGTCTGGAGTTGTATTTAAAACTTTAATTCACTTATTATATATTTTATTCAAAGTGAAAAATGATATTTTATATAAAAGTGATTCAAATAAACTAATTTAATATACATATATGTCATACTCTTATATGTTTAGAAGAAACCATTGTACAAATTTTTTTTGTTTGAGATTCTATTTGTAATATAATTTTATGATATACTAATTCAAGATTATTTGCAAATAATTGTAAACATCTTTTAAAAATAGCATATGCATCTTCTACTTGTGAAGTTATTTTGTTATCAAGATGCTAGTAATAATTAGCCCAGATAGAAATAATGTGCTTTTTATATGGCATCCAGGTTTCTTGGAGATATTGTAAGACATCAGATTTGTTTTTATAGTACTTTAAAGATTCTTTCCATTGAGTTGTAAAGTATTGTTCAATAATAGATTCTGTAATGACCTTCCACATTTTTATAAATTTATTTCAATAATCTTCTATAACAAAGTGATGTTTACATTTGATCAAAATATTTTTGTTTATATGCCAAATGCATAGAAGATGTTAAGCATTAGGAAAAACTTTATAAATGGTTTTTATTAATGCTAATTTTCAATCAGTGACAATGACAATAGGATAAGATGATCTATTAAAATTGAAATGCAAGTTAAGGTCCATTCATAATCTATTTCCATTTCATTTTTCAAAAAAGCAAAACAAGAAAAAAATGTTATATTAAAGCTTGTTATACCAATAATGTTTAATAAAGGTATCCGATATCTATTCGTCTTGTATATGCAATCCAGAAGCAATACAGTAGTATAGGAGCGAGTCAATATAATAGATATTTTGTGTGCAAAAAAAAGATGTATAATATGATTTTTATAATCACATTAATATTCAAACTCAAAGTCTGATTCTTGCAATTTATCAAGAAGAGCCTGAATCGGTATATGACCATTAAGTCTTTCTTGGTGAATAGAGTGTAAAGTATTATAAATTGTTCTGGATATAGCCATAAAAGATAGATTACCTTGTCTAATAGTTGATAAAATTTGACAAGGATGTGAACCAGCAATAGACATCTGTCAAACTTGCTTTGTTGCTTAGTGCTTAATCTGTAAATAATTGGATGACCAGACATATCTTCTGATGCTTCATGGTTATATTCAGAATTTTTAATCTCAAGAAATCAAATACCATCACGTCTAATTCTAAATAGCTCAAATGGACAATTCAAAAGTCTTGAAGCTGTCTGTCTGTGACGTGAATTTGCTGTTAGATTTAATTTATTTCTATAAGAACCACCTCTGTCACAACACAATGTTATATTTTTGATTTGGCCACTCATATCAGTTCGTGATCTCTTTATGGTTACGGCATATCCTTGAGTTGCGGCAAAGGTTCGAACATGAGCAAGAAGCTCATTATGATTTGCAAATTGATTGGGTGGAGGTGGAAGCATGTAAAAAAAATATTACAGTGAGATTAAACAATCATTTTTTATTAAAAAACGATTTAGGACTTTATCTTATACTATTGTCTATCTAATAATTTAAACTATTATTATTACTACATTTTTAATGCACAGGTAGCGGAGTAGTTCAATACACATAATTAAGATTTTATAAATGATCAATTTTGTAGACCTATACGGTACTCAATATCACATGGGGGTGGCACTAACAAAACATAGGGGTGTAATAACAACTTCCTATTTTTATTGTTGATTTCAAGTCTATCAAATAAGAAACCGCAAGTTTTAATATAACAAATTATGAATTTTATTCTTATTTATTTATTTATTCATTATTTTTATTTTATTTTTTGATTTTCAAATTAATAATAATTAATCAATTCAGCATAACATTGATTATTTTTTATCACTATAGTTTATATAATACCGTATAAACAATAAAAAGATTTAAAAATTAAATTAATATTTTTACAAATTAATTTTTTTTAAAAAAAAAAACGATTTTAAAAACCAGTCCTCGAATTTATGAAATCAATTTCTTTTTTAAAATAAAATCAAATGAATGTAACAAAGAATGCGTTGCATATTTAATGACTTTAACACGCTCTGCTTATCATTTTCCATACAATTTTCTATTTATCATTGAAGAATTACACCAAACTTGTATTTATTTCTATTTATTTATTTATTTGATTTGTTTTTTATTTAAATCCGAATATACAGTATATTTTCGCGAATCTTGATAGTTCGTTACGTGTAGATACGCCATACTCTTACTCGGGTAACTACTTGCTTGTTCATGGATACCCTCTGTAATTACCCAATGTAAAGAATTTGACATACAGTAATATCAAACGCGTATTGCGTGATCTCATCATTTCAAGATAGGTGTTACAATTTTAAATACAGTAGAAAGATGATGCATTTTGGGGGAGAATAAAAAAACTTGTTTAAAAAAAAATTGTTTCGCATATTGCGTGTAACCAATTGGTCTGCTTCAAAGAATCAATAATTAAACGAGAATTTCTTTCTATTATGTAACGAAAACTTGATTTTCTGTGAATGAATGTACGCGTTATCTAAAATTTTTTCTTTCTTGCAAATATAAGCCTCATGTTGATGTCATTATGCATTTGCAAAACACGATCTTGATTGAAACAAGCATTAAAGGATTTCTTAATTCTTTCGTGATCGAAGCACTACAATGAAAAGCCTCAAAAATTAAATAGACATCTAACAAGGAAACGAATTTGTTAAATTGGCGTGAGGAGTCGTTGGTGATCTGGATTTCTTTTGAAAACAATTAAATTTTACACAAATACGATTCTTCTCGGTTTCGCCTAAATTAATTTCCAAAAGTTGAATACCCGGGATCACAACGTTTCCCGCTCAAAGCCACCACAGCCATATCCGATTATCAATCTGGTACAGTATCACGAGGAATCACGTGTACGATGCTATCATAGTTGTTGACGACAAAAGCTCGTTTACACTCAGGTATTTGGTGACACACAAAGTTCTTTCGATCCTCGAATATTCTATCACCATGGTGGAGGAAGTTCGGAGTCAGTTCAACAGAATTAGTCAAAATTAGTCACCAGTGAATGTTATAGACGGAAACTCCTAATTTCCAAAATAAATCACTCATTGTACTCATCGACAGTGTTCGTAAATCAACTTTCCAATTAAACCAGAATATTACATAACCAATAAGGTCAGGTTTTTGTGTCATTTATGCTTAAGTAACAAAGATATGCAACTTCTGATGCTCGGAAACGACCAGCCTAACATACGTTAATTCTACTTAGTGTTTATGCGTATTTTAAAATGGGATCCTTATTTGTATGACTATTCCATTGTGGAACTATATACGATTAGGCGGCGTGCACGACAAAGTTTCGAATATTTAATTTCTCATCTTTCGAAAGGCATGAGCCACAAGGTCGAATTCTTTAAGTTTCGTCATGTTTAAGATGAATAATGTCTCTTTCAGGTACTGTGTGAATGAAAACGTTGTTGGAAACAGCATCAAACAGTAGATCTCAACTCATGAGACAAGTCGTGGTCAACCATCTCAATAAACAAAGGAATCTTTAATTTCCACGATGGCACACAATAAGCCCATTTATGGTTTCGATACCATAATAATGGTAGAATCATAAAACAATGCATGTATCCAAATCCGATTTACTGCGGAATCTTTGGGGTTTACTATATATTATTGTATTACAGTATATACAGTACTGTATACGGTATATTGCTCGATACAGGATGTTCCCTGTTAACAAACAAGTTGGAATTAGCCTATAACGAGGAATTTGTCTTAAAAAGTATGACGATGTTTGCTTCCCATTTTTGGATATCGCCATTGACCCTTTGGAACAATGCGTGTTTTTATATTGAAGGCTTGGTGCAGATGCATACTACACCTCAACGAGACTCCATAAAGGGTCGACAAGTACAAGTACTCCACAACATATTTTCACCACATTGCACGACCCTTGCTCCCCCTTTTTTTCTTTTTTGAAACATAACACACATATCATCTTGCATAAAACGGATGTATGAAAATTGATCCAAACACAAAGAAAACCACCTTGCATACTTCATTCTTTAGAAGGTGCTGACTTCTTTCTTTTATCTCACCAGGATAACCATGTTCGTGTTATCATATTCCGGGTCTAACATCTAAGTGATGTCTAACAATTGTATTATGCCTATCTGTTGAAAGGTAGGGGCAAGGATTGTTTATTGCGGTGTTTCGTTTCGATTCCGGTCTTGTCATGCGTGCATGCATGCATGCATAGTCGAAAAATTAAAAAAATATTGTTGGGAATTACATTAAACAGACGTGACGAAAATTTAATATTTGAAGTTGAAATAGTGCAATAACACGAGAAACTAAATAACAGTTAATTAAGATACATCATCCTCGAGGTGTTTAACACAGCCACACCAATAAACTCTCTGTGTATTTCACCTTCGTCTTTTCTGAGTTGAAATTATGTATTGTCAATTCCTCATGCATCGTACTAATCTCAATTTAATGATTGTACGATTATCAGCTTCTGGATAACCGTAACCACATGACTTTTTGGTGGACGCAGGGCATGTACAGTATACAATATATGCGAACTTGGGTGACTGTTGTTTAACATGTTCCAGTTAAAGAAATGAATAATTGACACGAAAATAACACTAAAACGCCTGTATTAATATAATTGTCTATTTATTGCTTTTTTTCGGAATTTAGAAATTGCAAATAAAATCATATATGAGTACGACGATGAGATGATATAGACGACCATCAATGAAAAAATATTTTATTTCGCTCACTTGAAAAAAAAAAAACGAAGGTTTTTTTAATTTAGGTACATGAACATTTAAATAAGCATTTCATATATCTCTTTATCGAATTTATCGTCACATATTCATGCATATTTAATCTCATGCTTGGTATTTTTCTTTTTTGTTAAGTTCGGAACTCTCTTTCGTCCCAAAAATTATCTACCACATACACATTATTGAAACTTGCCCAGAAGAAAACCCACTTTTATTTATTTATTTATTTATTTATTCATCTTATTTATTTTGTTTTGTTTCTAAGCGAAGAGATTACATTATATATTCGAGTTCTGACTTCTATCATATGACTCGGACTTTCTTTTCCTTGCCGAAAAATAAGTCATGACGAGAAGCAGAAATAATAGTAGGAAAGGTATGTGGATAATAAATATAATGGGTCGAATCGTTGTCACAAATCGATAAACTAATAATAAACTATCATGCTATTAGGAGATTTCGGTTCTCATCAAATTTACAAACTTCCAAAACTTCCTGATCGTTCACTAACCACGAGTAACTACGGTGCCGCTCCAATCATGCAACGAGGAAACCACAATAACATTCACCAGCGTTGTGGTGACTTCATCATAGACATTGAACCCTATTCTCATCGTCCCTCGACGTCTTCGGGTGGTGTTGTCTCATCCGGTAGTGTCGGTGGTACCGTAACAATGACCACGGCTCACTCCACCGTCGCTTCGATATCCGAAGGTCAATCGGTGTCCATGGAGACCACCAAGAAATTACGTGACCTGGAATCCCATGTGCATTATCAATCCGAGCAAATAAAGTCTTTATTCTGGGAACGTGACGATTTAAAGTATCGTAACCATAATCTTGAAGCTCAAGTGAAAATGATGCTGGAAAAATCAAATAATTATGACAAACTCCTAAAGGAATGCGAGGGTTTAAAGGCGCAAAACGGAAGCCTGCTAAATGGTGTGCAACAACTTAAAGCCGCCGTGGCCCAATCTAACAAAGAACGTGATGACGTCAGAGGAAGTCATCAATTAATGGAGTTTTATTTAAATCAGTTGCAAGAGAAGCTGAATGGTCATGAGAAATTGGTTTTAGAATTGAACGCCGCAAAGAATCAGTTAAAAGATATGGATGTTGAAAACAAGAGTTTACGCGAGGAAGCTGTGAGATTGCGTAAACAAAATGACAATCTGGCTGCCGGTATGGGTCGATTCCAAGATGAGATAAATTTTTTCATAAAGCAACGAGATGATTTGTCGGCTGAAAATTCTAACCTCATCTCTAAATCCGATTTGATGCTATCCGAAGCGGACAAACTCCATCTGAAAAATTCGGAGTTGTCCTCGGAATTAGATGCGCAGCACAAAGAATGTGAACGATTGAGAGAACAGATTGGCGAACTGACTTCCCAGAATTCCACGCTAGCATCTGAGACCGATCGATTGCAAAATGAGCTGGACAAATACTTGAATAATATGATGAGGCAGCAGTCTGATAGTACCACTTCTGAAAGTACCATTTCCGAATTTGCCAATAGCGAATTTAGTGATGAGGACGAAGATTGTCGAAGCATATCCACCGTTACATCGACGGAAATGCAACATCCGGCATCACCGCAAGATCAAACTGACGTGAAACTTCAATCGGCCGACGATTTCTCCGCGAGAAAAACCGCCAACGATGAATCTAATGACGTTACCTACGTTTCACGTGATATCGATTCTGATGGGGCACTCAAAAAATTACACAATCAATTCGACGAACTTACTCTCCAGCGCGATGAGCTGATCAACGAAAATGGTTTGTTGAAATCTCAGGTTGAAAACTTGCAAAATGAGTGTAACGTGATTCGTGAGCAACGTGATCAGACGACAGCGAAGAACGACTCTTTAACCAAGCAACTTGAGCAATCACAGAGCGAGTGCATGAAAATTAGTCAACATCGTGATGAACTATCGAGTCAAAAGGACGCTATCATGTCCGATCATGATTCACTTATCACGCAGCTGGAGCAATCACAGAGCGAGTGCATGAAAATTCGTCAACATCGTGATGAATTATCGAGTCAAAAGGACGCTATCATGTCCGATCATGATTCACTTATCACGCAACTGGAGCAATCACAGAGCGAGTGCATCAAAATTCGTCAACATCGTGATGAACTATCGAGTCAAAAGGATGCTATCATGTCCGATCATGATTCACTTATCACGCAGTTGGAGCACCTACAGAGCGAATGTAATCTTATCGGTGAACATCGGGATGAGGTGATTGGTAACCTGAAGGCCGCATCGGACCTTAATAATAGTTTGACCGCACAAATCGACACAGTTCGTAAAGACCATGACGAATTGTCGAGAAAGATGATATCGACAACATCACAGATGGACCAATTGCAGGTGAAGTTAGCGACTTCTGTTCAACAACAAGAAAATTTGTCGAAAGAGAAGGACTCCCTGACATCACAGCTTGAGCAATTAAGAAAAGATTATGATCTCGTCTGCCAACAGCGGGAGGAATTGTCAACCAAGACTCACATGTTATCATCACAGCTGACACAGTTGCAAGAGGAACTGAATGTGTTAAACCGCAAGCAATTCGAATTGTCATCTCAGCATGAACAATCGAATTCGCGATGTGATGAAATCTTGAAGAAAAATGTTGCGCTAATGTCGCAGCTTGAACAGTTACAAGTGAATTACGATCGAGTGGCGAAAGAAAGGGACGATTTCGCAGGCCAGGTTTCCACTCTTTCATCTCAGGTAACACAACTTCAAGGTGAATTAAATCAAAACCGTGATGAGTCGATCAACAACAACAACACCTTGACTTCTCAGATAGAGAAATTGCAAGCGGAATTGGATCAAATTGCTCTGAATCGTGATGAAGTGTCAATCAAGAATAGTGAGCTCATCTCTCAACTCGGTCATGTTCAGGATGAGTTGAATAACGTGATCAACCAGCAAAGGGAAGAGGTGAAGTCGTTGACTGGGGATCTTACCAAGGAAATAAGTCGATTGAGCGAACATTGCCGTATGCTCAATGAACAAAACGATGGTTTACAGCGGCAAAATCATAATATCGCTGCAGAACTTGAGCAATTGAAAACCCCATCAAATAATGCTCAGGCGCAGCAAAGAGAAGAAACATTGGAGGTGAACAAGGATATTCTCGAGTCGCAAGAAGGAATTATCTCAATCCAACCCAACGACGAATCTTACGCAATTATTCAACAAAGCGACGAAACGGCGAACGGCAACCTAAGATTACGAGAACACCAAGATTCTATTATGTGTGAAAGAGATGAATTGAAAAATCATATGGCTATCATAATTTCACAAAATGAACAGCTAAGAATGGAAAATAATAATCTGAGACACCAACAAGAGATTGGACAGATTCAGGAGGAACTCGAAGATTTTAAGATACAGCGAGCGGAACTACGCAATGACCAAGGACGTAAAGTATATGAGGTGGACGCACCCAGAAGAATGAATATAAAACCACAAGCAACGCAGCAATATCCACCGAATCAATCGCAAAATTCTGTTGATTCTCAAGAACCTCTCGATAAAGTATCACGGATTCCGGTATACCAATCCTCCAACAGAAATTCAATAGCGGAAAGTGCATCTCCTGATTCTAACACTACGTCCCCCATGAGACCTTCAACATATATTTATGCGCAGCCACAACAAGCGGCAGAGCTTAATGTTAGTCGATCGATCCATCCCGAAGAAATCACTAATAGCATGAATGCGAATCAACAAGCCTCGCCACCACCATCACAACCAGTCTATTCACCAAAATATGTTTCCCAACGAGTTCGACCGCAGCAACTCATTGCCACGCAACCATTTTCTGCACCAATGATATTACCAGAAGGTTCATCAAGTTACATGAATGAATCTCAACAAGCTTACCCCGCCGCGGCTCCGACCTCATATAATTTGACTCCTGGACGATCTCAATATTACGAAGACCAAAACGTCCCAAGTCCCAATGTCAACCTGAGCCATCGATCTTCCATCTACAGAAGATATTCTTCGATAGGTCAAGAATCGTTTAATGACATCCCATCAAATTTACAAACATCAAATGCGTATACGTTGGGGCCTGCTAATTCACGTTACTCTTCTGTCTCGGTTGCAAATATTGACTCGGTGAATCGATCAACTAGCGTTTATAACGTGTCAAAACCCCTGCCAAGTATTCCTAGTATTCCTGCACAAGAACAAAAGCCTCTAAAATCATCATCTGAAAGCATAACCAGTAGAAAATCCATTAGATTGTCCGGTAAACTGGCCTCCCTTAGAAATTCAAAAATGTTGAGATCACAAAAGGAAATACCCACGTGCCAATATTGTAAGCAAAAACCGTGTAAGAAAAACTTTACCGGCTATTCAAGATTTTGTTCACCCGAATGTAAAAGCATGGCGAAGAAAGGTATTTTTCCATTGTACTTGAACCTTCCTCTAGAAATATTGACGACAACATTTATTGATCAATTCTTATTATTTCGTTTTCTTAGATATCACAGACAATGCTAGGTAATTGTTGGTCTTAGAAATTGGCAATTTTTGTTTTAAACATGGTACTAACCTTTATGTACATTCCGACATCTTACAGCATAATTTCATCACATTACGGAGACCCGCGAAAATCTTATAGCTCCTCAATATATAACGAGTCGGTGGACTCACTTGCCGAACATTTCTAAATATACAGTATATCCAAAAAAACCTTTCCTTTGTACAAATTTTTATTTATTTGTGTACGACTCTCCTAGAAAAACTTGTAAAATAATTTCTTCCATTCACCACATTCTAGAGATTATTAGAGTTAAAGAAAAAAAATGGAAATCACGATTCTCCGCGATCATATACATATATTACTATTCTATTCTCAAAAAAACTTTGTGTATTTTAATTACTTTCTTTTGTATCATATTTATATACATGACATGTTTAGTTTTATTTATAATGCTTTAAATATTAATCTTTTTTTTTCTCTTTTCTTCCATTCACGATAAAAGTAAACACGCGCGAAAATAATAAAATTTATCTAATATCAATTGTAATTGTCTAAGAATAAAGTCTATTATTTCAAACTTCTTTTCCAAATTTTTTTCTCATACGTAACTAATGCAATCGCGAAATAAGACGTTAATAATGATACATTCATCAAAAGAAAAAGAAACTCTTCGGGTGTAATATACTTGATTTTCAAATATTTATTTTGATTCTTTTTTTTTGGAAGAAATAATATTTTATTTCGAAAATTATATTTGAAAAATATTTCAATACTTAAGCTAGATAAACCTGTCCATAGACAAACACTGTATTTCCAATGCATTTCTTTAATCCTTTCGATGAAAAAATTATATTTTCCACCGATGGACTAATAAATAAATTGTTGATTATTAATTATAAATTATCATCGATTTACTGTACATGAAAGAATTTTTTTTTTGATTTGTTATTACCATATTTATCTTTTTCCCATCGATATGTTTTTCTATTTATTATTTTCGCATCAATATGTTTTTGGTTTTTGCCATCGATATGCATGTATTAAATTACCTATAAAAAATATAAATACAGTACTGTGTGTATATATCGTACATGATACTTAATGGTATATTGCCTAGCCAAATTTATAAATATTGATTAACAACATAATTATTTTATTTTTTAATTTAATTTCATAATCAGACTGGCATTGTTTGTTCATGAGTCATTATACAATAACTGAAAAGATACAATTCACTTTTCAACAATATAAGATTTTAAAGAAATACTTTATTAAACTAAAGAAAAATTAAATAATTTTATTATTTTTTAAAGAAAAAAGACTTTTTTCGTATAAATGTTTTTTAATAAATAAATATAATAAAAATATCTGGTATAATATAATATATATAATTGTATTTATTCCTTAAACCACTTTGAAACATTTCAACTGGCTTTAATTTATTGGTAGCAAATTATTAGTTTTTGAATCTTTTTTTTAATAATAATTAAAATAATTTTTTAATATTAATACAAACTAAACTTATCTTAAAATAATATATATTGTTAGTCCAGAAAAAGTCACATGATATAGTTGCATATCATGATCGTTGCAGCATGTATCTTAAAAATTGTAAAATAGCATTAATAATCAATATATAAAAAATGTAATTATAGTAGCTTAGATAACTTATCTGATAGTTTATTTTAACCTTGATAGTTTATTTGCCCTTAATTGTTTTTCTTATTCTTCTTGTAAATAATATAAATAGTAATACCAATATACAGTCATCTCAAAAAGTAAGGCCTAATTTACATATAAAAAAATACAGTAAATAAAAACATGACGTTCTCTCCTTTTTGTTATTTTTTGGAACCTATCTTTTATTGTTTATTTTTTTGACCCCTTAAACACTGTTTTAAAAAAATTTCCTTGAAAAAATAACACCCGCTCATACTTAGTTAACCAATGAAGACAAAAGAAAAATACTAAGTTTGAGTAAACATCTTAGTACTGAAAAAATAGTATTGAATATGAATTACAACTTTATTACAATATGATGGTTTCTTCGCAAGTATTAAGAAATAGAAAAAATAGAAAATCGTTTACAATTTGGAAGACCACATGTAGGGTTCTGATCAGTATCAGTAAATATCATTACTGATTTATCGGTTTCGATACTAATTTTAAAACTAAAATACCAAACTGAAATTTTCAATAAAGTATCGATCAGTTTTGGTATTTTTAAAAAATACCGATTAGTAATTAATAATAACAATATAAGTTATATCAATATTAATAGAAGTTATATTTAAGGTTTCGATTAGTATTGGTAAATATCATTACCAATTTATTGGTTTTAGTTTCAGTACTACTTTTAAAACTAAAATACTGAACTGAAGTTTTTAGTAAAGTACTGATCAATTTTAGTATTTTTAAAAAATATCAATTAGTAATTAATAATAACAATAGAAATTATATCAATATTAATAGAAGTTACATCAAACTATAAATATAAATAGATATAATTTCAATAAATACCATTATCAATTTATTATTTTAGGTTCAATACTTTTTAAAAATATCAATCTATATTAGGTAAAAATTGGCAATAGAAATTATACTG